AGTTTATCCTGAGATATAGTTTCCTGTGCTTCCTGACCTTTAACTTCATTGGAGGGTCCAAAGAGATAGACATACCTACTAGCCAATCACAGTTTTGTTGTTGTGTGGAAGTATTATCAGGACCGCCCTTCTGCCTGCCTACTTTGCCTACCCTGTATAAATAAGCTTGTGACTTCTCTCAAATAAATGGACATCCCTCACCACCAGTTTGTCTCCAGTGTTGCTGCTGCAGGACACTGCCGCCTTACCCTTCGGGGGTCTCAGGGCCGGCTAGACAGAAAACCTCCAAGACATCCCCATATTTCCAGAATTTCAAGGACCTAGTATGAGCCTTTCTAGCTGGTAGGAGTCTAGCAGGCTGTTGGGATGAAAGTTCAGAAGGAACAGAGGCTCTATCTGTCTCCATCCCCCACTAGATAACCACTATACCTTATTACATTTCAAACAGAATCCAGGCACCTTTCATTGTCCCTCAGTCCTGTGAGAGCTGCCCTGTGCCTTCTTCTCTTCCTTCCCATGGAACCTCCATGATTCTGCCTCCACTTGCCCACCACATTCTGTGCACACATCTTCCTTCCTTTTCCCAACCTCTAGTTTTTCCCTTTAACATGGAATGTTTTTCCCCACCTTCACCTCCACTATGACCCAACCCAGTTCTTCACACAACTTTCAGTATTGGCTTAAGTGTCACCTCTTTCAAATGATTTTTTTTTCAACAGTTTTTCCTCCCCCCTCGGCACTTCTTTCATACCTGGGAGTATCCAAGATACACAGTGGGTGACAGAGTAAAGTACTAGAAGGTGGTTGAGCAGGTGCAGGAACACAAGAGAGGATAAGGAAGAGAAAAAGAATGGTGGAAAGATAAAGCATTTAGAGGATGGGCAGCTGGCACAGAAGTGAAGTTCCCGCTCTCGGCACTTGCATCCCATTTTGGAGAGCCTGGTTCAAGATCCATTTCCTCTGCTTCTAATCTGGCTTCCTGCCAATGCACACAGTGAGAGATGGCAGATGATGGTTCAAAAGCATGAGTCCCTGACACCCATATGAGAGATAGAGTTCTGGTCCCCCAAATTTAATCCAGCACCAGCTGTTGCAGTCACTTGGCAAGTGAGTCAGCAGATGTAAGACCATACTTTCTTCCTCTCTCTGTAACTCTGCCTTTAAATAAACAAAATGCATCTTAAAATTAAAACAACCCACAACCAGGCATTCTATTGGGTTAGCAGAAATGTGTATGTGTGTTTTCAAAGATTCATTTTTGATTGGAAAGACAGATTTACAGAGAGAAGGAGAAACAGAAAGATCCTCTATCCACTGTTTCATTCCAAGTAGTAGCAATGGCTGGAGCTGAGCCAATCCAAAGCCAGGAGCCAGCAGCTTCTTCTGGGTCTCCCGCATTGTTTCAGGATCCCAAAACTTTGGGCTGTCCTCTGCTGCTTTCCCAGACCACAAGCAAGGAGCTGGATGGGAAATGGAGCAGCCAGGTCATGAATCGGCACCCATATGAGATGCCGACATGTGGAGGTGGAGGATTAACCAGTTGAGTCGTCTCACCAACCCTGCATTGTAGCAGATGTCCTAAGCATCTACTTGAAAATGCTGCACTAATAAAACAAACAGAAACCCTGCATTAAATACTGCCCTTGCACTAAAGGTTCCATCCACCTAAGCCCGAAGGAGGAATAACAAGAACTCAACAAAGAGCCAATAGTTTATGTTTCACCATTCCAGAATTGTTTGCATCAGTGAAGGAGCCCTGCACATGTCAGGACACCCTTCAAGGCTCCCAGGACACTGGGCTTCCTTCTCTGTAGAAGTGAGAGAGTCTGGGAACAGCAGTTACCTGCACAGACCAAGTGCATCTCCAGCCATTCGCTCTCCTAGCTGCAGATCACTGGCCACTGGAATGGGACACACCCTGACCCTAACATGTGCCTAGGAGAGCCACTTGCATCCTTCCCTTAACAGGACCCTGTAACTGTGAGTCAGTATTGTTCACTGAATGATTTTGTCCAGTTTTGGAGACAGCTGAGAAAGAAAATGAAGAAAACATCTCATGACTATGTAGAATTTGCCTGGATAACCTGGGTCTGTCTCCACAAAGGGGATTGGACTGGGGGCCACAGAAAGTTTGACCCCAGCCCGGAAGTGCCTTGACCTCTTTGGAAATGCTGATCCAGACACATCAAAGAGGTCCTCATTCCTCTGGAGAAACTGTACTCTCTGGTATGAAACATGCATGAACAGATTTAAGGAAAATGGAAAACAATTTCTTCTGATGAGTCCCTCACTGGCAACTTTCTCCTTTACAAGAAAATTACCACATGCCAATGGGATTTCTGTTTTAATGGCGAGACACAGGGAGTCCCCAGTGGACACTAACAGGTGCCCGGGGAGGGAGGCTGTTTTTCCTATCTCAGCGTAGGGTCCCACTAGGCTCTTCATTGGGAAAAGTTCTGCTCATTCGTGGATTCCTATTCTTAATGATAAGTAACTTTTATTTTCCTGTTTCTAACTGTGTGTTGCATTTAGGGGAAAAAATGAAATGTAATATATCCAACAAAGAATATTAAAATCACCATTACTCCATTAAGAAGAGAAAATCGTTAGTTACAATTTGGCATATATCTTTATGATCATTTCTCAGGATACATATTAACAATTGTTTTATTTACAAAAAGGAAAACAGTGGGTTTGCTCCTACATTGGAAAATATTTTTTCCACTTATTTTGCAAACACAATGCCATGCGATGAAAATTATTTCACATATTTTTATATTGACTGTCTGGAGTCCTGGGCTACGAATATGTCCTGCTCCATTTAACCAACCTCCTACTTACACCTTTTACTGACTTTTCCACATCACATCAACTCTAGCACAACGAGTTCCCGAGTAATTCAACCTGTATGTGCACTCTTCCTTGTTTCTTTGGGATAAGGTGTTATGAGCGGCACTTCTGAGTAGGAAGACCCACACACTTTTGGTGCCCAGTGCTTGCTGCTCATCCATCCTTCGGGAGGTCACCACCACAAGCTCCTCAGAGGAGCACCTGTTCTCTGTGACTCCACAGACATGGATTTTTTTTTTTTCTGCTTGAGGGTTCAGAGTAGATGGTCTCATTGAGACATTCAGCATGCCCCAGCTGCTGTTGTGATTTCTCCATTCTGACTTTGCTTCTGCTGTGTCATGACCCTTGCGAGACTGGAGCCTGAGGTGGGTAGGTGCATACAGGCCAACTGAGCTTCCCACATCAGCTGTTTGAACTGGTAACTGCACTTCACTTTCCTTTCTGTAACGTGAGGACAACAGAATCACTGTTAGAATTGAACAAGTTTATGCAAGCAAAGTACCTGGGACCGTGCCTGGCTCAGAGCAAGCACTGCATGAAGTGTGCGTGAAATGGCTCACTCGCAGGGCAGATGCAGATGAGGGGGAAGATGACGCAAGATTGGGGGCGAGGGAGTATACTTTTGTGCCTTCCTCTCAGTTTCGCTGAGACTCTAAAACTGCACTGGAAAAACAAGTTCAATTTTTAAGAAAGATTTATTTATTTGAAAGGCAGAGTTACACACAGAGAAGCAGAGACACCTGCCATCCACTTATGCACTCCCCAAATGACCGCAAGTGCTAGAGCTGGCCCAGGACAAAGCCAGGAACAAGACGCTTCTTCCAAGTCTCCCACATGGGTGCAGGGACCCAATGACTTGGACCTTCCTCTGATGCCTTCCAAGACCATTAACAGTGGGGAGCTGGATCGGAAGTGGAGCCATTGGCACTTGAACCAGCATCCATATGGACACCAGTTCATGTCCAGGCTGCTCCATTTCTAATCTAGCTCTCTGCTTGTGGCCTAGGAAAGCAGTGGAGGACAGCCCAAGGCCTTGGGACCCTGCACCCATGGGAGAGAAACTTGAAAGAAACTCCTGACTTTGGATTGGCTCAGCTCTGGCATTGAAGCCATTTAGGGAGCGAACCAGTGAATGGAAGATCTTTCTCTCTGTCTCCATAAATCTGGTTTGCCTTTCCAATAAAAAATATTTTTTTCTTAAAGAACTTTTAGCAATAAAAATCTTTGCTTGAGAGGTTTGACAAGAATAGAGAAGAACAGGCCCAGCGCGATAGCCTAGTGGTTAAAGTCCTTGCCTTGCACATGCCGGGCTCCCATATGGGCGCCAGTTCTAATCCCAGCGGCCCTGCTTCCCATCCAGCTCCCTGCTTGTGACCTGGGAAAAGCAGTGGAGGACAGCCCAAAGCCTTGGGACCCTGCACTTGCATGGGAGACCCGGAAGAAGCTCCTGGCTTGTGACTTCGGATTGGCTCAGCTCCAGCCATTGCAGTCACTTGGGGAGTGAACCATCAGATGGAAAATCTTCCTCTCTGTCTCTCCTCCTCTATATATTCGCCTTTCCAATAAAAAATCTTAAAAAAAAAAAAAAGAATAGAGAAGAAAATCTTTTATGACACTGGTCCCAGCATTGTCACCATTAGTTTAATATTTGCTCCCTGCAAAGACTTGGATCAGGAGTATTACCTCAAGACAGGAGCTGGGGGAGGGTGTGTCCTGCCCCGATCTTATTATTTTTTTCCTTAGGACTGGCAAAGAGCATGCTTACAGGCGACGGTGACTTTCTTCCGCTACTGGAAGGCAGCAATGTCGGGAAAAAGTAACACAGCTGCTCTTACTTTTCCAAAGGATGAAAGTTACAAGGAAATGAATTTGGGTTCAACCTGAAAAAGGACTTTTGCTGTAAATGGCTTCAAGCAGGGGCTGCCGTTAGGGACTGGGATTGGCCACAACAGTAGAAGCCTGTATTCGACGAGTGTAATGTCTCCTCATTATTTAAGACTTACTTGCTTCTCAGTGCTGCCTATGCTGGCATTTCTGGTTCTTCAATTGCAGCTCACATATATGTCTCTCTTCTTTCCAGCAGACTGACTCCCCACCACGCCTGAGGCAGTGGGTTTCCCAAGACGGAAGAGAGCAGCCTTGGTTTTTCTTCTGGTCACTTGGATTTGGTCACATTGTCCCTAAGCTTTTGTCCCCACAAGGTAAGTTTTTCTTTCTGCTGTTCTAAAGAGCCGTGTTTCTACCACTGTTGAAACTGATGATTTTCATGTTTGCCTTTAATTAGCCAACTCACTCATTTACAAAAATATTCAGGAAGTTTAGCTGGAGTGATTATACCTGCATGGCATTCTATGCCGGTGTGGATGAATCCGAGGTCTCAGATGGCATTCTGTACCTATGTGGAATTAGGATCAGCTGAAGGTAGACAGTCATTGCCAAGTCTTCATCATGAATGCTAGGTGGAGCCTGGTTATACCACATCTGACCCTGTTGTTCAGGGTCTACGCAGTGATAGCCAGAGCTTGCGATTTCATATTATTGTCTTAGGGAATAAATGATCTGACATCGAATCCTGGGAGAAGGTCCTGACAGAGCTTTCACTAGGATAAACAAGATGGGGCCCACAGTTAGAGCATGTGAGGCAGTGGAGGGCAGGCCTGCCATGGAGTCACAGGGGAAGAAGTGATGCCATCGGCCCGACTGTTCTCCCTGCCCCACCCTCACCAAGAAGTCCTCCTGCTCAGAGTGCGTGAGTTCCTGGTCCCTTCATTCTCCTCCGATGCTCTAACATCAGACAAGGAGGTGGCAACGCGCTCCTCCCCTGCTCCGCGTCCTCTGGGAGTGCTACACACATGTACATTGTCAGACTCTCAACCGCAATCATTGCCGCGGCCCAGAGCCCCAGCCCCCCAGGGTAAGCCTCCATCTGGTAAACAAGAGGATACAAACCAGAGCATTTCTTCACTAATCAGAAACACTCCCTGAAAGCCAGCTCTTGGAAAAGTCCACACTCCCTCCTCGGCCTCCAGGCTCGATGTCCTCCTCTGCGGGTCTGTCTGCTTGTCACTCAGACCCCCCACCCAGATGGTCATCATGCCAGTTGAACACACTTAGCGTTGGATTCAAATTGGCTTTATTTTCATCGGTCCTATTTCCAAATTCCTGTAATTTCCACTTCACCCAATTAGTGCATTTTGGTCCAGTTGTTCCCAGCACATGGGACAGAGACATCACCCACTCAGAAATAATAGCCTCACTGCTAATAAATTAGATGGTCCCACTGGTAAGGATCAGCTCCAGCCCATTCTTCCAAGGCCTTAATAATTAACATTGGTTAATCTAATATTCAAATTCTATTCTGAAATGAATGCCATCCCAAGGATGAGACGCCTTAAATCTAGTGTCTGGGAAGAGTATTTTGATGGAGCAGTAATAGTCTAGTTCTAATTAAGAGACTGAACAATGCGTGAGTGAATGGCTTTCCCTATTATTTCTCACTCCCCAACTCCAGAAGTGCTTGGACTCCAAGAGGGACTTTGAATACCTTAAGTGATAATAGATATTGTATGACCCTGGCCCTACAAGCACCCCTTCCAAAATATAGACTCCAGGGTGAGAAGTACTGAAGGCCGTGAGTCATGCGACATAAGGAATGGAAGAAGTCCCAGCTCTGTTTGTTTCACTACTTCTCAAACTTACCTGACCATGGATTATTTGATATGAGGTCATGACTGTGGGGTCAGTATGTGGCCAAGATCCAGAAGACCCTCAGTGAACTTCCATTGAATGAATAAATGAATTTTCCAAAACTGTGTGCCAGGAGATGCCGTTATAAAGCAAAGAATGCCAAAGGATGGTAGCAGTAAATGCAAACCTCAGGAGATGTACTTGCTATCAAATGCTGTCCTACCACTTCTTCAAATCATTTCCAAAGTTAATGTGCCCGGAAAGCAGACCCATCTGGATCCAGGTTTAGTCCCACAGACATTTAAACTTCTGGAAAGGAGGGATTATTTAATGCTCAGTGCATACATATTTTTTGAAAGTTAATATTAATTAACATTTATTGAATACCACTTAGTGTCAAGGACTTTTTTTAAGCAGAGAATCAGAGAGAAGGAAACAGAGAGAGACACTCAGATAGAGACTGTGCTCTCACCAGCTGCTTCACTCCCCAGATGCTGAAAATAGCCAGTGGGGGACAAATGCAATCCGGGAGCCAGGAACTCCAGGCTGTCCTCACAGTCATGGGGTCCCAGTGTGTGAGGGACCCCAGGTGATGACCTGCTGCCTGCCAGGGAGCTTGATTGGACATAGGATGGCACTCTGATATAGAATGCAAGTGGTAACTCTAAACTGCTACACTCAACTCTTGCCCCAGATACATCATTTAACAAACAAATGATAGTAGGAGAGAAAACTTCTTCTGCCCAAGAAGTTCTTCAGAGTCATCTGTTCCAGCCCGCATGCTACAGCTGAGTGAGACATACAGAAAGCTGATGTTGGTCGCGAACAAGACTTATAATTACTCTTCTAATTGGATACCTAATGCTGTGGCACTAATCCATCAGATTACATTATTGTCCGCTGCATAGCTGTACCACAGTATTTGTAAAGTAGTTTCTTTAAGCCAACAAACAGTGCATGTATGCATTACCATCACCCTGGAATCTAAATATAAGCAATTATATTAAAAATATGTTTACTAGTATTAACTCCAAGAATGGAAATACTCAAATGTCTAAGGAATTTTTAACTTGAATGCAACCACTTTAGCAATCAGATTATCTGGGGAATTTTTCCCCTTCATTTAATGAAATTGGGTTGTTGATTTATTTATTGGGCTCCCTTTAAATTCTCTGAAAGCTCAGAAGTGCTTGTATCTTTTCCCTTCTGAAATGGACTTGTTCTCTGGGGAGTGGTGGGACATTTGTTTTGCTAGCAGGGTGGCTGATCCCTGACAAACTTCTGGCCTTGTCCTGGTAAGAAAAAGTGGAGAGAAATCATTGGTCCGCTCACTGGTGTGTTGGCTTGGTCTGCGGAAGGCCTGAGGCACTCTCCCCAGTTTTCTTACATTTGCAATGATCAAATCTAAATAAATAAGAGATCAGGTAATATAATTTTAGGAGTAACATTTTGATCTTTATGTCCAGAAATATGTTCCCCAGTTACTACCATCTACAGTTAGATCTTAACAATTCAGATTCAAATTTGACCCTGTCCTTCGTTTCAGAAAACATCAAACTGAAAAGTTGCAAGTTTTGAGTTAGTATTCCAGAGTACAAGCTTAAAGCAGAGAAAATAAGGGCTTCCGTTTTGCCTTCTGTTGGATGTAGAACTATTGGCATATCATGCTGGCCTTTATTTCCTAACGTGAAAAAATGTACTCAATATAATATCTATCTCATAGAAATGTTATAAAAATCCCAATCACAACATTACCTGTATTACCAATTTGTGATGCAACACTTAGGAACTATTTTAACTGTAGTAGGCATTTCTGTCTGTCTTTTTCTTTTGCCACACTAAAAAAAAAAAAAAAAAAAAAAGAAGCTTCTAAACTTCCACTTCCCATCCAGGAGACATTACTGACCAAAGTCTTTAGTGCTTTTCAAGCAGTCGTGCTTTCCAACCTTAAAGGCAAGCCAGAAATAAGGACTTTTGAAAACCAACTAGAATGCCAAAGGGTGCCTGGGTTCGTGAGGGGGAACAAAAAGCAGAAGCAGCAAGCTCTTACTCTGCATTGAAAAAATTAAAAAAAAAAACTTAGGTCACCAACTTTGCAATTTTATGAAGAATCTGTTCAGACTACCTCTATCTATAGCTATTTTCTAATCATTTGGGTAACAGAGAGAAAGAAAAAGCTCTTCTATGCCCTGGTTCTCTCCCAATGACCACAACAGCCAGAGTGGGGCCAGGTTAAAGCCAGGAGCTTTTTGCGGATCTCTCCCTCTTTTTTTTTTTTTTTTTTTAATGGTTTACTTATTTATATTGCAAAGTCAGGTATACGGAGAGGAGAAGAGACAGAGATGAAGATCTTCCATCTGATGATTCTCTCCCCAAGTGACCACAATGGCTGATCCAGGAGCTCTTCCGGGTCTCCTGTGTGGGTGCAGGGTCCCAATGCGCTGGGCTGTCCTCGAATGCTTTCCCAGGCCACAGGAAGGGAGCTAGATGGAAAGTGGGGCTGCCGGGATTAGAACTGGCACCCATGTGGGATCCTGCCATGTCCAAGGCGAGGATTTTAGCTGCTAGGCCATGCCGCTGGGCCCACAGATCTTGTATATGGTTGCAGGGGCTCAAGTACTTGGGCAATCCTCTGAGGCTTTCCCAGGTGCATCATCAGGGAACTGGATCAGAAGAGGAGCAGCCAGGACTTGAACCAGTGCCCATATGGGATTCTGGCATCACAAGTAACAGCTTTACCTGCTACATCACATCATTGGCCCAGAGGACTTTTACTTCTTCATTTTCACTTTTATTAAGTTCACCATGTGGGGGTGGCGGCACTGAGCTATCTTCTGGGAATACTAAATGAATGTGGCATAAACCCTACTGTCCCAGAACTTAAATATACAGAGGCAAATAATTGCAAAAATAGGACCTGACACTGTGGCCTAGCGGCTAAAGTCCTCACCTTAAACGCTCCGGGATCCCATATGGTCATAGGTTCTAATCCCAGCGGCCCCACTTCCCATCCAGCTCTCTGCTTGTGGCCTGGGAAAGCAGTTGAGGACCACCCAAAGTCTTGGGACCTGCACCCACGTGGGAGACCCAGAAGAGCTCCTGGCTCCCGGCTGTGGATTGGCACAGTGCCGGCTCTTGCGGTCACTTAGGGAGTGAATCATCAGATGGAAGATCTTCCTCTCTGTTTCTCCTCCTCTCTGTATATCTGACTTTGCAACAAAAATAACATGCATCTTTTAAAAAAAATTGCAAAAATAATAGCAACAGTACAACTAGGGAGATCGGAGCAAAGGAGGAATCCCAATAGTGCCTAGGCTCTTCCAAGAGATAAACTCAACCAGAGTTAGTCTCCATGAGTTAGACTTTTCAGTTAAGACAGAGAACAGGTGGTAGTCAGGGTTAAAACCCAGGCTCCTGAGCCAGATGATCCAGCTGGGGCACTAACTGTGTGACTTCAGGCGAAACACTTAATGGGATCTGCCTCAGTGTCCTTTGCAAAACTGGAGAAGTAAGGTATCTATTTCCTAGGTTGTTGTGTGACATAAAATGCTTAGAGTAGTGCTTAGCCAAAGAAGACATTATGGAAATGTAAGTAATTATTATTAGCAAGTAAATATAAAAATTAGTCTGGGTCCAAGGCAGTTCAGTTTGACAAAGAAGTCATAAGATAAATAAATCAAATAACTTGCCTACTCATCCAAGTGGTTTGCATGTTTCGCTTTACCTCTGCCGGAACCCAATAACATTAATCAAAAGTGCTTAAGCTACAATCAAGTATCTTATTCTCAGTCTGACCCATAAGCCCATTCATTCATCTAACAGGGCTGAAGCAAATGGTGGTAGGCAAGTTAATTTGACTTCTCTAAGGTCTCAGTCATTTCTATTAGAAAAGGAGAAATTTCTACTGCTTTATCCTGTATGTTTCTCCAGCGCCAACCTTCTCTGTGGCTCTATGACGGTAACCCCATGACTGTGGACGTAAGGCAGTCCTTAAGGTGATGAACTAGAGCGCTTTCAATTCCAAGATGAAGAAAAGAATCAACATTCAGAATTCTAAGCTTTTCTTTGATTGCTATGATTTTATAAGATTAATCTGTGACTCGTTTCTTAGCAATTGAACATAGTATTTATTTATTTATTTATTTTGTGTGTGCATCTTCCAGAGTTGATTTTATTGAGCATTTCTGTAGAGGCTTAGAGGGACAGGAAAGGGTCCCTGAATTCCAATGTTCCCACAAGGCCCAGGCCAAGACTTGTCTGCCGATTTCAGCTCCAGGCAGGAAGTCAGACCTTTATTATGGGTAGAGAGAACTCCAGCGGAACAGAATGCAGTCAGGCGAATTCAGATGATGGTGAAGCAGAAGCCCAAGAGAGTTGGCCATGTTCATGCTGCCCAGGCCCGAATCAATGAATTGGGGCTCCCCTCTCTGCAGATCACGTCCATTAGCCACTGCCGGCATGAAGGGGTCCAGCGGCGTTGACCCAAGCCTGTCCCTGGACTGTGAACCTAGGGTGTGGCTGTGGTGAAGGGAGGCTTTCCTGGGGCCAAATATTTGTTCCTCTTGCTCTTCTTCACTGTAAAGCACAGATGGTTGCTCAAAGTGCTCGGGCACCATCCACATAGCCTCTGGTTATCAGTGCTCCTTTTCAGGTCCTGCATGGCTCCCACCTTACTTATCACAGGGAATAATCGAAGGAATTGCCTCCCAAAAGCCTCGTACAAGTTCGTGTTTTTTTTTTTTTTTTACAGACTTTTTATTTGTGTTTAATATTTACTTACTTTGGGCCTGGCATGATAACTGAATGGCTAAATCCTTGCCTTGCATGCACTAGGATCCCATATGGGCACCAGTTTCTGTCCCAGCTGTTCCATTCCCATTCAGCTGGGAAAACAGTCCAGGACAGCTCAAAGCCTTGGGGCCCTGCACCCGCGTAGGAGACCCAGAAGAAGCTGCTGGCTCCTGGCTTCGGATCAGCTCTGGCTGTTGTGGCCACTCAGGGAGTGAACCAGTGGATGGAAGATCTTTCTGTCTCTCCTTCTCTCTGTAAATCTGCCTTTCTTTCTTTTTTTAAAAAGATTTATTTTATTTTTATTACAAAGTCAGATACACATAGAGGAGGAGAGACAGAGAGAAAGATCTTCCGTCCAATGATTCATTCCCTAAGTGAGCGCAACGAACGGCCAGCTCTGTGCCGATCCGAAACCGGGAACCAGGAACCTCTTCGGGGCTCCCACGCGGGTGCAGGGTCCCAAAGCATTGGGCCGTCCTTGACTGCTTTCCCAGGCCACAAGCAGGGAGCTGGATGGGAAGTGGAGCTGCTGGGATTAGAACTGGCGCCCATATGGGATCCCGGGGCGTTCAAGGTGAGGATTTTAGCTGCTAGGCCACGCCACTGGGCCCAAATCTGCGTTTCCAATAAAAATAAATAAATGTTGTTTTTAAAGATTTCTTTATTTGTACTGGAAAGACAGGCTTTTAAAAAAGATTTTACTTATTTTTGCTTGAGTTACGTTGAGAGAGAAGGAGGGAGGGAGGGACAAGGCAAAAATTTCCATTTGCTGTTCACTCTCCAAATGGCCACAATGGCTGGAGCTGAGCTGGTCTGAAGCCAGGAGCCAGCAGCTTCTTCTGGATCTCCACATAGGGCGGGTTCCAAGGCTTTGGGCCGTCCTCCACTGCTTTCCCAGGCCACAAGCAGGGAGCTGGATGGGAAGTGGAGCAGCTAGGGCTTGAATTAGTGTCCATGTGGGATGCCAGCCATATAGACAGAGATTAGCATACTGAGCCACTTCACCACCCTCTGAAAAGCAGAGTTTTTAGAGAGGGAATAGACAGAAATGACTTCCCCCCACTGGTTCATTCCTCAAATGGCCAAAATGGCTGGAATTGAGCTTCCTCTGGCTCTCCCACATGGGAGCAGTGACCTGAGAACTTGAACCATCTTCTGCTGCCTTCCCAGACAGTAAGCAGAGAGCTGTATTGGAAGTAAAGCAGCTGGAACATGAATCCATATGGGATGCCAGTAGCTCAGGTGAATTAGCCTGTTGGCTACCTTGCCAGAACCTCCTTTTTTTTTTTTTTTTTAATTATATGTAATGCGTAGTCAGAGAGAGAGGGAGAGATGAAAGTTCTCTCTTTAAATGAACACAGGAGCCAGGGCTGGCCAGTCAAAGGGAGAAGGCAAGAGCTTCCTTCATGTCGCCCACATGGCTGCAGCGGCCCAAGGATGCGGGGCCATCCTCCGCTGCTCTTGCAAGCACTCTAGCAGGGAGCTGGATTGAAAGTAGAACACCTAAGTCTTGAACCCATCCCAAACCTAGTATTAAAATTACACTGTGGCTTAACAAGTTGAAAATAGTGCCAGTAAATGGACTTATTTAGGGTGCTGAGTACTGTCTCCTAGGACTGCTGTAGGTCACAAGGATGGGCAGCCCCGCTTCCAATTCAGCTCCCTGCCTGTGGCCCGGGAAGGCAGTCGAGGACGGCCCAGAGCTTTGGGACCCTGCACCCGCGTGGGAGACCCAGAAGAGGCTCCTGGCTTCGGATCGGCATAGCATCGGCTGTTGCGCTCACTTGGGGAGTGAATCATTGGACGGAAGATCTTCCTCTCTGTCTCTCCTCTCTGTATATCCGCCTTTCCAATGAAGAAATAATAAAAATAAATCTTAAAAAAAAAAAAAGGAAAATAGGATCAGAGTATGAGTGGGAGTTTGATAACTAACATGGCTTTCAGTAAGAATTCCCATGGCAAAGAATTCCCTGAAACCCAAGTGAGACAGGAAACAGAACAAACCCAGGGAATCCGATGAACAACAGTCAAGAACCATGAATGGTTTAGAAGCTCTAAAACTAAAAGTTAAAGTCAAAAAACTAAAACTCAGGAGCATTCCATTGTATACTCATCTCATAACACTTTTTATATATAGGCATGATGAGTTCAATGGCAAAGCATATATTGCTTATGTTTTCACAGGTCTTTGAACATTGGAGAATTCCCTTTAACAATGGAAGATAATTTTGATGACAAAATGTGGTAAGTGCTTTGATTTAGCAAAAGCTGAGACTGAGGGTGGGCAATGCCAGGCTAGGTTGAAACACCTTCCAGCACACTCAAGATTCAGGCTGGAAACGGACCTCATAGGAGAACTTTGGGCACTTCCCTTCTACTGCAGCTCCCACTGATGAGTTCCATGCCAGGGCAATGGGCAGAGAGGGCTGGGCAAGGCTGCAGTACTCCTCCGCATGCATGTGGGCTGAGTCTGGGGGCAGGCCAGACCAGGCTAGGCTCCAGCACCCTCTGGTGCTCCCAAGAGCCAGGCTGGGCCACAGTGCATGCAGTGAATGCCAGCACTGGGAGCCAGTCATGTCAGTCAGGGGGTGGGAGATCCAGAGCTGGGAGCAGGCCTAGTAGAGGAACTTGGAGAACTCCTCTTCTAGTCCACAGCTCCCACTGGTGAGTGTAAGGGCTGGGATTGGAGGCAGCCCAGGCCAGGCTGGGCTGCAGCACCCATTGGTGTATGTGTGATCTGGGTCTGGGGTAATGCTGGGCTAGGCCAGTTCACAGCACACAGTGGCAAGAGCCAGAATGGGGCGCAGATCAAGCTAGATTGAACCACAACACTTACCAGCTCACATGAAGGCTGGGAGTGGGCCAAGCTGGGCTAAGCTGCTGCATCTGCTGGTAAATGCTAAGACTGGGTATGGGGCATCTCAGGCTAGGTCACAGCACCTACCAGTACATGCAAGCCCCAGTGATAGGGAACAGGCCTGGTAGGGGAACTTCAGGGACTCCCTTGCTGGATTACTGCATCTACTGGGAGCATGAGAGCTGGAACTGGAGACAGACCACACTGGGCTGGTATATGAAAGCTAGAGGATACAGGACGACGAAGCTAGCGCACAACACCCACTGCCAAGTGCCAGGCTGAACTCTAGTACCCCCTGGCAGGTACAAGATCTGCATCTGAGAGTAGGTCTGGTAGGGGAACTGTGGGCACTCCCCTGCTGGGCTGCAGCTCCTGCTGGTAAACATGAGAGCTAGGGCTAGGGGCAGGTCGGACTGGTCAAGACAGCAGCACCCAGGGGCATACATGTGGGCCAGATCTTGGGAGGGGAGGGTGGGCTGCGCTAAGCTGCAACACTCAAGGGTTTGCGTGAGAGCCAGATGGGATGTGCGACAGATGGGGCTAGGCTGCAGTACATGCTGGTACACACAAAAATCAGGGCTGGAGATGGGTATGGTAGGCGATGGTGTGACCTGTGGTGGGCTGAGATCACCCTAGGCTAGATTTCCTGGAGGATTCTCATGCTAGATTGCTGGACTCAATGCTGGACACAGGGAAAATTATAATATATGTGGTCTGACCTTGGAGTGCATGTGTTGAGACTGGGCCTCCTTAGTTGCTGCTATTTGTTTTTTTAATATTTATTGTATTATGTGACACAATTCAATATAGGCACTGGGATTCCCTCCATCCCTCTCCTAACCCTCCCCCCATGGTGGGCTTCTCCCCCCCCCCCCCCACCACTGCGCAACCACAGTTCAGGTTCAGTTGAGATTCCTTCATTGCAAGCATACACCAAGCACAGAGTCCAGCATCTCATTGTCCAGTCAAGTCCAGCGGCTTTTTGGGGAGACCCTCCCCGGTCCGAAGGCAGAGCCAACAGAGTAGAATCCCAGTCAATTAAAAGCCCCAACATAACATCAACAACAATATGTAACATTAAGGGATAAATTGACAAAGTATTGAACAACCAATTTGTCAGAATTGGATGCATGGTCTTAACAACTTCCTATGACTATTTCAATGACATTTCAACAATTGAGGTGCGAGACAGTGTTAGGAAGGGTGCGCAGAGAAAACTTCCATACCTTGGTGAGGAGTACTTAATCCCCGTGTTCTACCTAGTAAGGTGTGTGTGAGTCCATGCTGACCAAGCCTTCCTTGTTGTCCTCTGCCTATCCATTCCAATTTGTGAGAGAGTGTGTGTATGTGTGTGTGTGTGTTGGGGGGTGCTCTGGAGCGTCCCTCATGGTCGTTGCAGAGAGGGTGGGGACCCGAAGTTGGAGCCAAGTAAGAACCAGAGATAGCTCCTCTCCCTAGTCCCAAAGGGAGTCCACTGTTCTTCTGTTTCTGAAGACCGCTCAGGTTTCCTGGTTGTTGTTCCGATGGCCTTGGATCCTATGATGAAGGATTCAGTTTCTTCCATCCCGTGTGGTAGGTCCAATGGCGGCGGGCAGGGGGGGATGTCCTCTAAGTTCTCGGCCTCCAAAGGCATTCCAGTCCCCCGTGGTCTCTTTGGCAGTTGGGATGTGGTCCTTCGCGCCCGTACTGATAGCCCTTGCTGGGGATCCGGGAGACTCCAGGTTTGGGATACAAGCCTCCTCCTGTCCCCCTGCTCCACTCTGTGGTCCCCCACTGCTCTGTGCACATGACCTCCTGTTAATAGGTTGTCAGGGTCGCTCTTGATTCCCCCTATATATCTTTGGAGTTTTACTGTTGTCTAATGTTGTCTTGAATCTATTGTCTACAAGTTACCTGTTATGTGTCTGAGAGGTTACGCTACATGGCTTCCTCAAACGTTCACAGGAGATGGAAGGTTTCTTTGCTCTCCCGCTCAATTTCTGAGTAGTAAAAGGTTTTGAAAATATATTTGGTTATACAATTTTAAAAGCACATGGGTTGAGACCAAATTAGTTGGTAGAGGTCCATCGGGGGAGGTTTACATCATTGGGAATCTTTAGGGTTGATTCATGTACCCAAAGCCCTGAGGGTTCATCATGGAGCTTCCTAAGCAGCAATCATAGAAACCAAATCCCAGAGCTTCCCGGCCGGGCGGCCAGCAGGCAGATCCTACCGCCAAATGGCACACTGACTGCCCGATACCGACTCCGGACGCACGCATGGTTGAGGCCACCTGCGATCCAGGCATGGGACGCTACTTGTCCCGAGGCCTTCCAGTCCCCGTGCGGAGGCTGGAAGACTACTTCCCCAGGTTCAAGCTCCACCCCCTCCCGGTCCTGCCCCCAGCTCAAGCCCGCAGGCAAGCAGTGAAGCAGTTGGACCCGCTTCACAGAGCTCCTTGGGTAGTCCACGGTGCTCCTGCAGGCCACGTGAGATCCAGGCATGAGACGCTACTTGTCCCAGGGCCTTCCAGCCCCCATGCAGAGGCTGGAGGACTCTTTGGTTTTCTTTTTGCTCCTGCTTGTCGTTTCCTGTTTTGCGCCTGTCGGGGCCTTGGTCTCACCTTTCCACACAGGCAGTGGGAGATGAGCTGAGGCTCCTGGTGGCTCTAGGCGCTGAATCTCATCCATGGCTATGGCCAAAGCCAGGGCGATTTTCATCCAGCGCCAGAGTTGCTGCCATTTGTGCAGTGGACAGCATGCCCAGGTGCACATGGGGGACATGACAGCCTGCTTATCTAGGTCAACAGAGGACATGGAGTGCCTCTTCACAAGCTGGAAAGCTTTGCAGCAGGTGTCTGGGTGTATGGATGCACACAGAGGTGGACTTGGTCAGCCCAAAGACCCTGGAAAGTTGTTCTCAACCCTGGTGCAATGGAGCCGACGACATTGCAGAATTAGCAAAATCGTTCGAGTATCATTCGGATCATTCTTCCTCACAGCGGGGTCTGTAAAGCATCGACAAACGACTGTCTCCAAGCCTCAGGGACTGTTGTTTGACAGCAAGGAATAGCCCCCCCAGGACACAGGAGACAAAAAAATGGGAGCGTTTGTCCCATCCACCTTCCTATAACCTCAACCCTCCCCAACCTAATCGGGGAGCCCCAGGGGTGTGCATCCCTCTCAGCTAAATAACCAATATTAAAAATAAAAATAAAATAATTTCTAGAAAAGGGAAACATTTTCTTAAATAGTGAGATTACTAATTTTACATTAAATATTAAAATTTTTTTTAAGCTTGGTTTATTTTTACTGGAAAGTCAGATATACAAAGAGGAGGAAAGATAGAAAGGAAGATCTTCCATCTGCTGATTCACACCAGTCGGAGCTGAGCCAATTCGAAGCCAGGAATCTGGAACTTCTTCCAGGCCTCCCACGTGGAGGCTCAACGCGGTGGCCCAGCAGCCTGGGTGCTTGCCTTGCTTGAGCCAGGATACCATATGGGCACTGGTTCGTGCTCAGGAGGCCCCATTTCCCATTCAGCTCCCAGCTTGTGGCCTGGAAAAGCAGTCCAGGCCGGCCCAAAGCCTTGGGACCCTGCACCCACGTGGGAGACCCAGAAGAAGCTCCTGATTCCTGGCTTCAGATTGGCTCAGCTCCGGCTGATGAAGCTACTTGGGGAGTAAACCAGCGAATGAAAGACCTTCCTCTCTGTCTCTCCTTCTCTCTGTGGATCTGTCCTTCCAAAAAAATTAAAAATAAATTGTCGCGCCCACGTTTTTTATCGTCCGGCGATAAGACGCAGACGCGAGTGAAGTCTTCTGCGGTAATCTTTATTGCACGCACCAAGATGAGGAGGGAAAGGCTCAGATCCCGGCAGGCTGTCTGCTCTTATGTGCTGACTGGCCCCGCCTCCGCCGATGATAGGTCGGCGTCATGATTACGCAGGGTCCTGGGCGACTGGATTCATCAGTCCCAGTGTTCATGCGCCGGCCACGCCTCAGCTCACTGGGCATGTGCTAGGCGCCTGCGCAGTACCACGAAAGCTACGTCACCAGGAACCAAGGTGTGGCTTTTCCGGCCGGCGCCATTTTGGGTACGGCATGTAGCCAGTACATGCAGATGCGGCTGGCAACAATAAATAAATAAATAGAAGAAATAGAATGCCCAAATAGTCTGCTGTTGTGTTTTTGTTTATATAGTCTTACAACAATGATGAAGTTGAATCCAAGCTTTCCCTCCAAGGGTACCCCACACCTCGAGGACTCGTCCTGAGAATTCTAACTAGTGTGGAAGGAATAAAATCATCAGTGTCGCACCAATTCTGCCAGAGAAGTGGAAAAGAGTACTTTCCTCTGCTTACTGCATGAGGTTATCATGACTTTGTACCAAAACTTGCCAAGCATATC